AATTTCCATGATTTTAATAGGATGTCAATCCTTATTTTGAATGAGAGACAAGCCAAGTTTCTCATTCAAGTCTGCTGTTATATGTGTTATTTCCTAAATGGATTACATCAGTGGAAATGACCGGTTATGTGTAAAAGAAAGGATTAATTTCGTCTTTATTTTGCACAGGTTGCAACAGAACACAAATGTACCTCATGCGTTAAACTGACTTTGTCCCCAATAGCAACCATTTATTTTCCTCCTTTCATTTTATTTCCGTTGAAGAAAAGAATATAATTGGTTACTCTATGCAGCAAACGCAGTACTTTTGGGGCACTGTTGTTCTTCAGGCTTATTAGGCCATAATTGCCAAGGTGTCTGGAGGAAGAATTAATCAACCAATCAGGTTATCTTGTCCATCGTTCCAGTTAAACATATGCATAGTTGTCTGTTTGAATACAGACCAGTCAGTAATCATTTACTCTCTATGGGTACTTTTAGTTAAGATATATTTACTGTGTTTCATTATGCTTCTCATAACTTCAGCATATGTTTTAGATTTATTGTAGTTCTAGTTTCACACTGTGATCTTTTGCTTTTTAGTTAAATGTCAGCAGCTGTCCACACAATTCTGGAGGCATTGTGAGTTTAGCAGAAAGGTAGAAATAGCATATTCCCTCTGTCCTCTATTTCTTTCTTCTTGTCTTATTCGCTACATGTCAAGAGTACGATTACGTTGCTAAGGTCTGGCCTCCAGCAGACCTGAGCATGAATAGCTCAGACTGTAAATACCAAAGGGAGCAATATATTTAGATGTTGCTTTGAGACATGACATATTGTGAAAGACAAACTATTTCTGCACATAATAAATATACAGTACATATATATATATATATACACACAGAGAACATCAACATGAAAACATGAAATATTTGCTGTATCCAGAGAGAGGTTCTCATCCACTGAGTACATTGTTAAGGTAGGAAATAAGTTGAACTACCTTCTGTGATTTGGAGCGCAGGACCCTGTTTTTTGTGAGTGCAGTTCGGGCAAGCTAATACCTATGCGGTCACTATGGGCAGAATCTCAACATTTTTTCAGTTTTATTGATAAAACACCATCAAATCTTCCAAAAACATACTACTTGCTTATAATAGGTTATTGACAGGTAGATAGCAGACCTAGGCTGTACATTACACAGTGGGCTACCATGATATGAACACATTGCATTGTAAGAGTCATAGAAGAAACAAGTGTCTATCTACCAGTTGTACCAAAGTGTAAAGATTCTGAGCTTTATTTACAAGACAAAATCAGTATGGTCCCATAGGTAGCAAACATGCATTACAGAACTACAGTTGGTGATCAAAAACATTTGCTGTGACCACTACTGCCTAAACTGGAGTTTTAAATATTATCCATGTGATAAACCTTGCCCTTCTGATTATGGTGTTTTTAAACGAAAAACATAGGTGACATAAAACACATTCAGGATTAAGCTTTGAGCCATGAGGCAAGATGAGAGTTCATCACGTCACTCTGGTGAGATGAAGACTCTTGCTTAATGACAGAGATAGTCCTGTTTAAGACTGTACCTTCTGTAGTAGGATGGATACCAAGCACTGAACCCTGCATTGCTTCCATCAGAAAACTATTAGTGGTCAGTCAATCTAATGTTGCTACTGTGGTTTATTATTACCCTGAAGAGATGACAGGGGATAACTTCATTAGGCAAACAACAGCAAAAGCTCAGTGCTTTAACTCAATATTTTCTCAGTAGTCAATTGAACACAAGTTTGAAGGCAATTGCTGCAAATTTCATGGCTACTCTCTTGTACGCTGAATTTGCCCAGTTTATTGGCTTGGTGCAAATTCAGTGAAATGTGGTTGTTTGTATATGCCTGTTTAATGTGTTCTATAATGCTATTTCTTGTGTACAGTTTATAAAATATTGCATTTTACTTTTATTTGGCAGCTAATGGAACATCAAGCAGTCAACTGTCTACTCCTAAATCCAAGCAGTCTCCAATCTCTACTCCAACCAGTCCTGGAAGTCTCCGTAAGCACAAGGTATTATGTTTCTTCTCCTACCTAATAATTATTAGCATTTCACTAGTTAATACCTTGGTATTCTCTTTGGGTTTGAGTTCACCGCTACCATGGGTTTGAGGTGTTTGAGAGTCCTGATCCTGTCTGCGCAGTTTCACCCAGGAGAATTTGTTTAAACTGTAATGCACTGCAGGGGGGAGGGGGTACAGAGCAGCCAAAATGTCTGTGAATTAGAAGCTGTTGTAGAAACAGCCTAGGGAAACCTGACAAACTGTATAGGGAAAGATCAGGGTCAGTTAGAAAACCATAATTTAATTCTGATTATTCTAAGAGCTCCCATTTGCTGCCTTTTATTTTATTATTGTGGTTTTTTTTGTCTTTCATTTTATTTTGTGGTTGATTAGCAGTTATTTTTATGTGCTGCCCCATCCTTTATATATAATTTTCTATTATATATAAAGGTGTCTGGTATAGATAAGCCTTGGAAATAAAGTGATGTATATTAAACATAAGTATATATGTATGTATATTTATGAGGATAGATGAATAAGGACATATGAAACAAGGCTTTTATAGCAATGTTGTTATATTATATCTGAAACCAAATAAAATCTTATTAATTAAAAAAAAAGAAATTGTTTTCTTGCTGCAAGGCCCTATTTTCTTAAGTTTGGGGTTCTCAAAGCAAAGCATTGACTTGTTATTATAGGGATGTCCTGATACCACTTTTTCAAGACCAAGTACAAGTACTGTCCCTCCTGTACTTGCCGATACCAATTTACCGATACTTTTTCTTAAAGGGACATGTGACATTTTTTCTAAAACAATACCGACTAATGATTTTAGGGCAGTTTCTCACCAGGGCTGCGTGCATTGTACTCCTGAAAATGCCATGTATCGGCCCAGATACTGGTACTAGCATCGGTATCGGGACATCCCTAGTTATTAACCATCTATACTTGGAACTACCTTTTATACTTGGAACTACACCACTTCATCATTCAAAAGACACAAAAAACTTGGTGCAAGAACAGTGTAGACCTAAACCACCTTATGTTATATCATAAGAACAGGGTTTACATATACTTTAGTTTGTAAAATCAAATTATAATTATTAACACAAAATAAACCCGTCCTTCTAGTTAACACATTTTTCTTTTGTTTCTTTTTACAGGACCTGTACTTACCCCTGTCTTTAGATGACTCTGACTCCCTTGGGGACTCCATGTAAAGAATAACAGTGTATCGTGTCCACAATGTATAGGATCACACAGCAGAAGAGAAAAGCAGACCAACACACTGGTGCTTTTTAGAGAATCCAATTACAGCTTTCACTGTTATTTTTTCTTTTTTCCAATAATTAATAGTTTGTGTCATAAATTGTATGTGACCGAGGCTGATTGGGATAAGCGACTGTTTTATAGTGATGAAGCAGGCTTCACAATTGTATTCTGTATGCAAATATGCCATTTAGGAGATGTACCTAGAACCAAACATGTTGTTTCTACAAGCTGTAGATGGTGTCAGACAGCTGACACTATCAACAGTCATTAGAAATTGCCTTGTTATCAAGGGAGGTATCAATCATGGTATTTGTTGGAAATCTACTTAATGTCTAGTGTAAATTGCTGATAATGTTTTGTGTCTGATTTTAAAATTGCTATCCCAAACTATTCTATTGAACATGGAAATAATGATACCAGTAAATATTCAACTTTGTTTTTCAGTATCACCTTCTAAATGTAAGGATCAAACACCCATAACATTTCTCAAATCCTCATTTAAGATTTTCTCAGTTTTCACCTCTGCTACTATTGCTTTTATCTAAATTGCCTTTCGAAGCTGGTGCAAGTTGATCCTTTACAGTAAGATCTGGGGAGCACATGATAGAACTCTTCTCCATCTTACCACTTATTGATTCGTTCCTGTCTCTCAATTGTAAGATGAGATTCAATCATAAAACAAAAAGGATAAGAGAAGACCTGTTGCTCTATGAAAATAGCTGTCATGGGAAAAATTGCATCTCTTTCCAGCTGGAAAAACCTTTAGATTGGCAGTGAAATTATTTTATTGCACAGAGAATATAGTAATGTAGTAATTATAACACTTGTCTATTTATTTAAGACAGTGCAACTTTGAACCCTTTTGTTGCCATTATTATGGATAACTATTGATATTTATTTAATTTTTTTGGAGAGAAAGGAACGAATGATAGTACTGATCATAATGCTTACTTGTTTTTATACATCTTTGATCATTAGTATATTATTCTTTACCAGGTTTAATTATTTGATATGTCAAACTAATTAATGTATAGACTAATCAATGCAATTGAGGGAAAGGTCAGATTTTGTTTGATAATTGTGATTCCAGATGGCTTTCTTACTTCCTTATCACCATCTCAGTTCCCCTCCTTCCAATGTCCCTGCCTCCGTCACATGTTATTAAAATCAAAAAAATGCTTCTCCAAGTTCACAAGTTCAGCACCAGATGGTTGAAATATTAGCATAATGAGAAACAAGTCTGAGTTATTAATCATTTGTTATACACAGAAACAGTTTTGGTGATTAATATACTTTTCAATTTAATCTGAAATGACTTATACTGCAAGGAATACAGACACACACTACCAATCAGTCAAATCACAATTATGCCCAAAGACTAAAAAAATAATAGTAAAACTGCATTCTGAATTCAAAGTTTATGTTCTGCATTCTGTTTGAGGGCCACCATGCTGTTTAGGGAAACGTTATCAGTGCCAAGATAAACTGTGAACCAAAAGACAAAGCATGAATAAAGCACCAGAAAACACAACAGCCATAATCAACAATCAGTTATGACTGTGCAAGAACAGTGCCATTTTTACGTACCATGAAGCATTTTTATACAGCATCAATTTGCTTTACTGTGTTTCCTTGTGAGGGGCCTAGAATATATACTTACATTAGGGTGATCAATCATATACTCTTTCCTCATGTCTACTGATCTACAGAATTCATTAATTCAAGCTTATTCAAGTTATCAGCTGCACCAGCTACTTTATTGCCCTGCTGTTGGGTGGTTTGCCTAACACTTATCTTAAACAGGCAAACAAAACATTAAAATATGGTTGATGTCGATATAGTGAATCCTGTAGACAGTAGAGAGTAGCTAACAGAAATTAATAAATAAAACTCTTGCAGATTATTTATTTCAATTATATTGAAATATCCCCATAATTTGGGGAATGAAATACACATAAAATTCTGCCATGTTATGAGGAAAAACTAAACAATGAACATTAAATGCTAAATTTGGATTCCCTTAATTCTTTGTTGAGAATGCATTCTCCAGATAAAAGGAACTTAACACATTTTGGTGGCACATCTGGTCTTATTCAGACACCTGCCTTTGGTTAGTGATGACATGTGCTAGGTTCTTTATCAATGATGACTGGATGTTTCTGCAAGTGCCTTATTGCCAAAATAACTATTTTTAAGCAGGGTACATGCAGGATATCACAAGTAAAAGAGTGAAAAAATAAAATAAAAATGAGATTAAAACAGCATTTCAATACAGTAGGCCTAAATACATGGAAATTGTAACAAAAACTTACAGACATGCATGTAGTGCACACCATACTTTTGGGAATATAATCATTTAGAATACTTTAAGAAATCCTCAGAATTGTTAGAGTTATTTCATTATTAACCAAAAACATTATTTTTGAAAATAGATAACATGTAGCCAGTGAAGGAAAGGGTTTACTGCATTCACAAAAGTAACCATGTGCAAAGGGACAAAGGACTCAAATTTTAACCCTTTGCTCCAACACGCTGTGTTACTGTTGGTTTACTCCTAGTATTATACAAAGATTGGCATCTTGGTTCCTCTCTTCACAGTTGTCATTTAGTAACCAAATTCATGTGCCACTCTAGGAAACAAACATTTGAAAATGCATTGCTCTTACAAGAACTTTTATTTAATTTAGCAAAGCAGTCCCCTTTGAAAGTTTTCTCTTAAAAAATACAGAAAATTACCTTCAAAATGTTATAAAGGGCTATAAGCACTCTGACATATTTATTATGTCTCTGACATCTACCTTTCCAAAAAGTCTAAATTTCAGGTAAGACTAAATGTGTATACATAAACCCAATGCAAAAACACACAAAAAAGAAATTGTTAGCAAAAACGTAGGTCTGCTAACCTGTGCTCTCTTTATAAATCTCCCTGAATAACTCTTTACTCATTCAGGTATAGGAAAAGAAGTACACATAAACCATAACTTTCACTGGACATAATATGTATATGACACTATAAAATGATACCAGCTCTGTTATGCTGGCCATATATGCATTGATGTGGTCATTCAATTAAACAACTGTTCCAATAATTTGATTGAATCTAGCAATTTCTGAATTTTGTTTATTGATTATTGCTTTTCACTACCATTTTGATTACTTTAAAGTGACTTTGGAGGACTGAATCAAAGCTGAAAGAGACTAAATGGGTTGAAATTTGAAAAGGATTTTGAAGCCAATCATGTGGTATATAGAGCATTCAATTAAACAATTCCTTTTAATTTTGTTTGTTTTTCTGAACAAACTATTTACATTGAAAGGGATTGATGTAGGCATATTTTCAGTTTGTGCTGCATCAATTATTTCACATATCCAGTCACTTTAAATCAAATCATAGATTGCTTGACCAATACATATATGTCCAGTTCTGAAAACACTGTGATTCTTTGTTTTCAGCTTTTAAACAGGTTTTTATCTATAAACCAGGATGCATTTTTATAATAATTTATTTTTACTGCAGTTTATCTACTTTTTATAAACCGCTCCTTTTCAGTTGTTTCAACACTTCTCGGGGATAATTCGTTTTCTGAAATTTATCTGAAAAAGATCATTCAGGTCCCTATATATCATTTGAAGGAAATTATTTTTAAGTGTTTTTCTATTTTTTGTAAAAACATAAAAACAAAAATTTTGTTCACTACACAATAATAATTTTGCTGTTTCAACTGTAGGTTATAGTGATTCCTTTTATTACTAAACTTTTCTATTGCCATTTTAGCTACTATTTTCTGTCGGGTCTATTATTGCAACAACAAATATTATAATACAGTGGTATGCGATGCTTACTAACAGAGTGCAACGTGAGAATTATCTAATTATTGTATACATATCAAATCAGTCCACTGACCATATAATATAATAAATAGAAATGTACTGTTTCAACAAAATGTATTATATGGATTGGTTTGACCCATCTGCAGTTTTGCTTTGATCACTGATGAAGTTGATTTATTATGTCTATACTCCAGAAATAATTTTAAAAATACATATTCTCATAATAACCAATATCTGGCAGTACACCCGTACAATGCATTGTTAGAACGGTTTTGGTAGTTGCCACAAAGGCTAATGTAATAATTCCATGCAATTCATTATCATCTAATGCATCTGCAATGTGTTAAAAAAGCATTTTAATAAATCATCAATAAACAAAGATGTTGTCCATGGCAACAATTACCATCTGGCTGGGTGTGTTGCCCAAAACAACCAATAAGATAAGAGTGGGAAGGCATAAACTACTGTTAATGCAGTTTATAAAGGGAAAGCATCTTATTGGCCACTTCCAGTAATACCCCATCTTCAAAAAACCAGACCTTCCTTATGAAAATTAGAAAAACTAGAGAAATTTAGTTCTGATATGCTAAGTTTGGAAACTAATAACTCCACAGCATGCAACATGTAATTTGTGTGACTCTGTAGAGATCAAACAAACATATATCATGTGCACAGTGTTTTTCTTTTCTCTTCAGTATCTGTGTTAAAATGATTGTGGCCCTAGTTTTTTCCATAGATGTTGGCCGCTTTATACTTTAGGATCCACACATATATTTCATGTAAGCTTATTTAACTCAGATATTTTTTTTCCTGAAACCTGTGTGTATGAGGCCAGTAGAAAAAATGCAGTGCCATTAAGCATGCATACATATAGCATAAACACCATCAATATAGCTGTCTAGACTTTCTATATCAAGAGGTTGAGCTTGTAAAATTATCTTCAGGCTGGACACAAAGGCTAAATTACACAACAGGTTCTTTATCACGTCTTATTCAAAAATACTGGTTGACTTAACTAATCATCTTCGTCCTCTTAAAATAGGACAGCATATTGCTGTTCTGCAAATCACATTTTAAAGCTACTTCATTATTAAATGTAAGAACTTATTTGCTGTTGAAATCGTACTGAACACGCTCCTAGCAGCCATTGTATTAACCTATTAATGTTATATGGTTTAAGCCAATGCTCTAAACTGGTTATAGTCTGGCCAGAGTGTTCCAGCTCACTGCAGTACATAATTGGAATGGTGGCAAGAATAAAAATGTACCTGTTCATACCTAACCATAAGGATGGAAAGTGTTTTTTCTATTGTACTTAATGGTTGTATTACCTTGCCACAGAACAACATACATATGGTATAATATGAATAAA